ACAGATGGGGGGCAGGGGTCGAGTGAAATACATGTACCAGGGAGATAGCAGACGGATTCGACGGGGCAAGTGGGAGACATTGATATGACCTAGGGAAGGACTACGTAACAATATGACAGACTCTGGTCAACATTCCGAGCACTAGGATGAAGGGGGTGATAACGACAGTGTGGAGTGTGAAGGGTTTTCATGAATGCCGCTTGAACGAACACACGACACTACATTAAAAATAAGCTCGGTAAAAATTGTGACAGGAAAAGCAGGATAGGAGGATATAGGAAATGTGAATAGCCTAGGACAGAAGGGGAGATACCACAACTGTTTAGCACACGTTTGGTCAAAGGGCGGGCTTCAATTGTCTTTTTGACGAGTTGTTATATGGTGCTACGAATGGCGAAACGTCCGACTTTGAACATGATCCTGCATACAGTGGACTCCTGACTAGGTGCGTTCCTCTAAGTCTTCCTACCAATTTGACGAAGTTGCGAAAACAAGTTCAACCAACTTCTATACAACGAAAGGAGACTGCGACCACACAAAAGGCCACACCATCTTAATCTTCATACCTCAATCATGTTTAGTCTATAACAAGTGACTTAATGAAATTAGAATGTATAGAATAACTTCTTCCCATTTCGCTTATGATGTGATTTAGAAGTTAAAGTTTGAAAAAAATTGACGCTTTTGCGAGAGTTGATGATAGACGAAAATCACTAAAGAAATAGACCTTTGAGTTTGAATTCCCTATGTGTGTATTGATTCAGATAGGATAAATTTGTGGATAAAATGCTGCGTTGTAACACTCATGACTTTTGAATGCGAAAATATCCCTATTTTTTTACATTTATATCGATTTCATTAATTAATACTCTGCAGATTTATCTCGATAATATTCTCTCTACAGGATATTTCTGCATAATTTTTATCAGGTTACCGACTTTTGTTAAATGCCCCTAGCTTTGTCAGTAGTAACCTTTCATCTTTATTAAGATATTTTATTATTTTATTATCTGAATTCAGGTTGTGAGTACGGATGCTTTTCTTGATGGTCTCGAATTAAATCTACTCTTATCGTCCGAATTGGGTCCAGAGGTCAAAGCACGTCTTGAGGAGTCTATCGTTAAAGCTGGTGGCCGCACAGTTCAAAACCCGGGCTTTAAAACCTTTTGTATAATTACTGATAAAATCACAGCAAAAGTAAGTCATTGGTATTGACCGTTGTATTATTGGTAATCATCCACTTTTGCTTCCGTTTTGCGAAGAAATACGTACTAAATAATGACACTGCATTTCAATAAATTTTTAAGTATGATTTAATCAAAAGCTTCGTGAAATGACAACTTACTCGACCGCCATCACTGAGCATACTAAAGTACAAGTAGCATATGAATAGATTTAAAATAATGTTTCTCTTCTTTTACTTGTGGCGAAGAATTTTTTCTAAGCACCTTTTGGTGTGTAATCAAATTTTTAATGGAATATAAAGATGAGGAAGAAGTAGATGAAGGGTCACTTTTTATTCTGCTTTGGCGGCACAATTAAGACGGGTATATTCGCATGGTGCAAAACGTAGTCGGAGACGCTGCCTAGGAACGTTCGACTCATCGTGCCTAGGCCGCGGTTGCCCATCACAATGAGGTCAGCGTTGTTCTCTTTGGCGCAGTCTACAATCGTAAAGCCTGGACGGTTGTTCACGTAGACCATGGCATTCGTGTTCACTTGGTGAGATTTCGCTTCGGCCATAAAGTTTTTGAGTACTGATCTGCCCTGTCCGATGCCATCTTCCACTGACAGTCTGGTGTCTCCTATTAGCATTGGCAATGCTTCCATTGAGAGGGCCACTGCGCTGGCTCCTGTGAAGGCCGGCTCTACAACATGCACGAAGCATAGCTTGTCGCCCGTTCGTTTCACATTGTCCAAGTACCAGTGGAAGGCTCGATTACAGTGCTCGCTGCTATCGATCGGCATAAATATCGTCCGCTCTCTTGCCTGCCCATTACCACTTTCAACGGGATTAGGTAAGGGAGTTGTTGCAGGATTCGAAACCGGCTGAGCTGGCTCACTACGCCCGAACGAGAACAGACTAGGCATCGTGAATGCAGTCAACGCATAATTCGTGGTTTAGTCAGTGCATTTTATCTAGCCAATCCTATTCACCTTGTGCCCGTTCGCCAATTAGATTTAGTCACGTGACATGCTCCATTTGTAATTGGTTTGACTTGATTTTTACATCATGTAGCTTAGGTTACATGAATCAAGTCATGTGAGCTTAACAAATGTTGACGTAGTATGGGGCAGAGAGTTAACTTAGCTGCGGGCCGAAGTTAAGCCCTTGATCATTTTTGGATTGTGCACTTAATGATTGCAATAATGAGGGTGCTAGTGTTGCTATTGCTGGTGATGATGACGATGATGTTCTAATAGTATTAATTGATTCCACCGTACCGGGCGCCTATTGTTTCAGAATAAGACCTTTATCAATAGGATTCCTATGGTAGCTGAGTTGTCACGTTTAATGAATTCTCCTATGATAGTCATTGGAACTTTCTGAAAAAAATATGACAGCTGTCACTGTCAATGACTTCTCTTGAGACTGGTTAATGAATGAGATTACGGAGAATGTGGTTTGGCGCCAGATCTATTTAATGAGACTGTGGTACGGCATATATAACTTGTTTTTTTGCGACTTTTTTATTTCCTAGTCTAGTCAAAGACATTTATTTCTACTTATGCCTACCTTCTTGACTGCTATGACTGAATTAATTCATTTTATCATCAGCATACTTTTTATTCGCATCTGAATTGATCGAGTGGCCTGATCAATTCTCTCCCGGATACTCTCAGAATCCAATTTTAGGTTTCCTAGAGCCGATTTCGAGGTCAATGGTATTGCATTTCGGGACCTTTGTTTAATGATTAAGGCACCATGGATGCTAGATATAGTGATTAATATTCTTTATATCTATTAAGGAGAAGAATTTATTTTTCATCATCAGAATATATTCTTGAGTTACTTCACCACTAAGTGTTGTTGGCCTTAACGGATTTCCATCTTTTCTTATTTTTCTACTTACGATAATTGCAATTTTATCTACATTCGTCCTGTCTATTATATGAAGCGATATTAAGATGCTATTATGG